ATAACGTTACCTCAATTATGCAGTAGTTTATGATCATTAAGTAGATCGTTTTATATACGCTGAGGTGAATTTCAAACCAAATGTTACCCTAAAAGTAAAGGAATATCTACCTGATTCGATACTTTAGATCTGACTGAAGTAAACAGATTTGCACTCACTGGGATCCTACTCGTGTCGATGACGTTTCCAGCGCTGAAAATCAGCTATTTAAAAAAAAAAATCTCTCACATTTCCAGGCTTTCCATGGCCGTGGGAACACTAAAATTATCCGAAAACGTTACTGCAAAATAGTTTTTTTCACGGACCAGGCAAAAGAGATGAACGAGAAACCAATAAACAACGCAGAGGAAGTACTGAGTCAGGAGCGGCGAAACAGCGACACCTGCCGGAAATGTAAGATACCGCTATCAACGCTACACAAAAATAATACACATAGTTGGATCAGATGACAAGAAAGTAATGATACAACACGACCTACTGTAGAATAGTTACATTCACCGTAGGTTATACAGGAGACTGAGTAAAATATGTTGTTGTGAATTTATATAAAGTTTTATTAATTATATTTAGCCCATTAGACATACAGTACCGTGTAAGGATCCTCTATGAAATATCTGCTGCACTATTCTCTATTGGTCGTCATACAGCTACAAAACAGTGTCCTACATAGCATTTTATTAAGACAAACACAATTTATCCCTTTTCTAAAATTCTAAGGGCCATTAAGAAGAAAGAGACAATATTGTTGTTCACAAAAAAAAAAAAAAGATTTATTAACACCATTTTATGAATTATGATGACTCCCCTATGGCTTGCCACTCTTATTTAACTGTTTTTCTATCCTCCTGTCAAAGTGCTCCTGCTCACTGATAAAAAAAAAAAAAAAAAACATAAAAAAAAATGAAAAAGGACATCCATGGTGAATTTGATCTTGTCACTGTGTGTGTGTGTGTGTGTGTGTGTGTGTGTGTGTGTGTGTGTGTGTGTGTGTGTGTGTAGCCTAGAATTGATGTCAGGTGAGTGTGGATTGCATCAGTTTGCTCCTGATCTTCAAGGTACGGCACAGGCACTTGTTGGTGGAACACTTTTGGAAAAGTGTCAAGCCACTTTGATTTATTTTGGCCACCGATGATGGACTGTGCAGAGAAAATTGAAAATGACATTAAAACATGCCCATGTCTGTCTCTGTAAGTCGTTTATTTACTAGACAGGCTATTGGTTTGGAATGTAGTTAAAAAAGAGATGGGTGTTTATAGTTTATACAAGTTTAGAGAGAGAGAGAGATTTTAATTTCCTTAAGCAAACACACACCTTTATGAGATGCAAGTTAAAGAGAACTTGGTAAAGACAAAACCCACATTAAATGCACAAACCCTACATTTTTAGTCCAGATCAGTAAGCTTTTAAAAAAAAGAAAGAAAGTATATTAAGATATAAATTAGATAATCTCATTTATAAGAAACAACTCAAACCAGAATCTACATTCAAACATATGGGAAAAGTTTTTAGTGTGGGTTTTATCATGTATGACGTACGTTGGAAATAATCAAAATATTTTGAGTGTGTGCGCAGTTCAACTCTTTACTTAGAGAGAGAGAGATTTACATACATATATGCCTATTATAAATGTGTATTTTGTGTGTTCACACCATAGACTGTAAAAAAAAACCCAAATTCCAATATCTAGGACTGTAATGTTGCCCCAGAAACCCCGTGGAGTAGGCTATGTTTCAATGCAAGGAGTAAACAGGGTCTTACCAGAAGAGGCCATCTTACGCAAGCTAAAGACTGCAGGCAACAAACGAAAATTAAAAAGAAAATTAATTTGAAAGTGAGTAGAGAAGGGACCGCTAAACTACACGTGGTTAGCTAAGTTTGAGCCAGAGAACATCAACCTGACCGTCAAGAACTTCTTTATGACTCTCGAAATAAATTATAGACCCATCCATTGATATATAGAAATGAATTGATATCTATCTACCTACCCTAGCTTTATATAGCCAATCGTTTATAAATAATAAATGTTGCATCACTGCTAAACAACAACTTTCGCAGATTATTTACCATTCCTCAGCCCGTGTCTGTACAGCCTCCCCCTACTGGCCGCATCGGGAACAACGGGGCCGTGTATCACCGCCGGCTCCAGGTCTGCAGCCTCCTCCTCCTCCTCCTCACACTCGATGCAGATCATAATGGGAAATGCGTAGTTAACCAAAATGTGAAACCATCTTATATCTCAGTTTCTTCAAAGTGGCCACAGTCTGTCTATATTCGTGAGGAGCTTTTTAAGCAGTATTGACGGACTTCACATGCACGCCGGACACTCTTTACTTCTGCTTAGTGTATCAGTTTAAACCAAATCAATTAAAATTGTTTTCATTTAAAATATTTTTTTAAGCTCATTTGATTCTCATTAAGATGAAAAAGTGTTTTTATGATCATGAGATATTGAAGTCAAAGACATTCTTAAAACATTTTCATTAAAACATTAGACAATCTCAATATTGAAACATGTTCAGACATGTTTTACTGAGACTATAGACAGACTGATAGAAAGACAGACAGACAAAGAGACAAACAGATAAACAGACAGAGACAGACAGATAGATAGTCTAACAGGCAAACAAATAGCCAAAGTGAGTTTTCATAGTTTTATACTCTCTCTGACATAAGCAAAGATTATTGATCTGGACTGGGAAATGTATGACGGGTGAGAGTAGCATATTTGACATTCATAAGGCAGTCAAATGAGCATTTATTTGAAGAATGCTTATCAAAGCAAAGACTTGATCTGACGGAAGAGGGTCCTGTTACTCGTTCGGGCTGAGTCAGAAAGAAAGAGAAATCAAGAGTCCCCTTTAAGGCTGTTTTGTTTTTCTTCTTCTAGAGAAAAGTATGTTAGACATGTCCGCACAACACTTGATACCCTATGAAGAGTAAAAAAAAGAGAAACATTTTGCAGTTACGAAAGAGCAACACTTTTATCTTTTGCACTTTTTTACATCCCTGTCCACACAACCAGACAAATATGAATCTTAAAAAAAAAAGAAAAAGAAAGAAAATCAACATGCTTTTGTCCTATACATAGCAAGGCAAAAAGAAAAGAAAAGCAGGAAACATAACATTCCTATGTTTAAGAAAAAAAAACACGGAATATGAACTTCATTTATACAGCTTCAATGGCCAAAATGCACAGACAATATATAAAAAAAAATAAACCATACCCTTAAGCTCCAATCATAAGGATTCACCAGAACAATACAAGAGCAACATGAAAAACTGCCACCGCGGCTGATTACAACTGCACTGTCATTATTCACCATCAAAAGTACAATTACGTTTTCATTGTCTGTTTAAGTGACTACATTCCTGATTTGTGATGCATTCTCATCCAAAACCGATCATACTGTTACCCCACATAAAACCAGCCTGCATAAATGGCACATAAATTAAACAAAAATTAAACTGAAATGGGACACATCACAAGGCCGTGTCCCTAATGCACGTCTCACTTGAAGTACTCAAAGGCATTTATTGTCACATCATAATTCCATTTTTAACATCTAACTATTCCCTCACACACACACACACGCTCACGAAAGAAAACTCAAATGTACAGTTCTAAGCTTATACAAAACCAGGAATGCAATGCCTCTGGCGTATAGTTAAGCATGAACAGAGAAAGCCCTTTTTACAATGTTTGTATTTGTATTCTCGGCCGAGCAGGTCCAGAGGGAGTTCGTCTGTAGCAGAACCGGCCCGAGAACCCAGTCCGTAACGTCTCGCGCGGGCCGGCTCTCTCACAGCATTACGTTTCTAGGAGGTCCGTAAGCAGCAACAGGTTCTGCTGGTTGATAAAAAAGCAGCGAATTGTGTCCTTTTCATGGCCCCACGAATGCCAAGTGCCTCTCCGAAACCTTTACACTGCTGCCAACGCACACGTCTTTACGGATCAAAGGAAAGAGCGAGAGGGAACATGGAAAAGGAAAGGAAAAGCGTGGACAGAACACCAACAACATATTGGCTTGAGAAACTAGTGGAGGTGGAAATTTACAGTCACTTGATATAATAATACTAAACCAAAAGAAATTCCATCTGTTCTTGAACACAACTACATTGTTTAAAAAGGCAAAATTAAAAATATATAAAATCAAAACATTTCAGTTTTTAATTGCAATACTTGATCTGCACCATGCGAAAGTGATATGATAGAAACAAACTAGTCAGACAGAAGTTTAAATCAAAACATTTAATAAAGAGAAAGAAGAATAAGGTTCTTAATAGAATGTTTACGTTCGAATTTGCTGAGGCAAATTTGTTTCATTCATTGCTATAAAATATACATGATAGAGAATTAAAATAAAAGATAAAGTACTTCAGAAACAACAACAATAATAATAATAATAAATGCCCCCATCCATACGTTTAATCGGTAACATGAAATATCACGACCCTTTTACTTGAGGAGGATGCCAAATATCAGTACAAAGTGCATTAAAGGCAGCAGCATTAGAGGGGCGGTGTGTGTGACGAACGGTGCAAAAAAAGAAAAACAGTAACCAACCGTTGTTTAATATTCTGGAGCAGAAATCAAGAGGTGAAGTTTAAAACTGGTCCGATGACACGGACCAGGAAATCCTTCAAATGCGGAATAAAAAAACAAAATTAAAAAAGGATTTAAGTGATGTTGAATGGGCGTTTGGCATTCCTCACAGTAAACGTGGGCCTTCAACTGCTAGCATTGTTCAGCACCTGATATGATATGTAGATGCGACTCTCACCAATAGGACACAAGCAGAGCGCAACACTGGATATGGCAAACAAGTAAACAATTACAAAGAGACCCCCGATACCAGGGTGACGCACTAGCTTGATAAACCCATGACGTGATTGCTGTCAAAAGTGATTTTTGATTCATCCGTTGCTTCGTTTTCACACTATATCGCAGAAAGAAAGAAAAAGAGAATTGCAGATCTATCATTTTAAAACGTCCGAATGGCGAACGGGAATGAGTATTTCGAAAAGGGACCGACAAAATAATCAACAATAAATTATACTTTAGCAAATTCATCCTTTTTGTATTAAAAACCTCTTGGATATTTATGTTCAGACACAAACCACCCAACTGCACTGGATAGGCACAATTCTATAATAAACAACAATTTAAAAAAAAAAAGAAAGAAAGAAAACGCACTAAATTTTGTTCACTGCTTCCAAACAGGTCCTCTGTACAATAAAAAAAAACTTTTGGTTGTGGGATGATAAAAAATAAAAAGAACTGGCTAAAATCAAATCAAATAACTCGCATACAGTATGGCGGCAGCAGCAGCAAAAAAATGAACTTGTAGAAATGTTTTGTTTTTGCATACAACTGTTTCCCGGCATCGAAAACCCCTGTAATGACTTTCAATAAATTGGCAAAATGATTGGAACATTTTAAGAGCGCCTCTTCAGAATCACTAATGTACATTAATTTTGGCAACAGAAGTCTAGACGTTGTTTTCTACGGGGGACCTAATTGGCTATGATTCCTCCATCAATTGGAACCCAGTTGCGCAGTTTCTTGTCCTAGATATGATGAGCACGACGGCACGGTAGCGTCGCGTGACGATTGGGTTTCCTCTTTGTACGGTGTGCGAGCGTCTCAGACCATGGCCCGGTAGGGACCCTGCATCTTGAGGAACTGGATGATGAAGGAAGGGCCTCCGGCGACGATCTGCGGTGGGAGGTGGCTGAGGGGGCAGTTCTCGATGCTCATGATGGACAGCTTGCTGCACAGGGCCAGCTCGAACGGCAGACTGTGCAGGTTAGGGTTGTCGTTCAGGTACAGGTCCTCCAGGTTCTCCAGTGTGCCTGTGGGTGGGACAGAATAGGCTGTGAGCGAGTTGCGTGTAGGGCTGTCACTTTACGTTCGAAAATCGATTGCACAATCGATCGGACCAACCAACACAAGTATCGAAAACGAAAAGAGGGAATCGATTTTAACGACTTTTTTTTTTTTTTTTTTTTTTTTAACCAAAAATGTGTTTTAGGTGGACAGATCAATACAGCACACAGATCTTGTAGGATGTTGGAAAATAACAATGCCTTTTCTGTTAACCAAATGCTTTTTAATATTCGCTATTACTTCAATGCAAGTGAACAAGAGCGCCGTTATTTGTTGCGTAGCGACGTGTGTGTTCAAGTAAGCCAGAAATGCGCAGATTCTGCTCAATACGCTGTATTTAATATATCAGGAGGACTCACGAGTTGCGTATTTGCGCTAAATCCGCGCAGATTTGGCTTACACGAACTTCCACAGCAAAGAAAGTGAGTAAACATAGAAATACGCCAGATCGGCTCGTGATTGGACAGCGTTACCCGCCAAAGTTCATTTTTACCCGCATTTGGCGGGAGTTAATTTCAATCCCTGAATGCTGCGCTCCTGTTTGTCATTGTGCACGAAACTTCACGCCAATAAATCATCAGGAATATTGCTGACTTGTGCGTCTCAAGCGCCCTCTTTACGCTCGTCCTAATGCCTGTTAGGTGTCCGTGGATTTGCCTATATTTGGTGTTGAGAATGGAAACGAAAATGGAAAATCGATTTTACAATCGATTCAATGAACACTTACGTCTCAAAAATCGAACAGGATTTTTTCACAAAAGTGACAGCCCTAGTTGCGTGTGTGTGTGTGTGTGTGTGTGTGTGTGTGTGTGTGTGTGTGTGTGTGTGTGTGAGGGCGGCGGGTGAGGTCGTACCGATCTCCTCGGGTAGGTGCTGCAGTAGATTCTCTCCCAAGCCCAGGTACGTCAGGTTGGTCAGGTGACCGATTCCTCTCGGCAAAGTGGTCAGCTGGTTATTGGTCAACACAAGTTTCTGCAAATAAATGCTTGAAATGAGTTTCACAATCAAAACAAACAGTATAACAGCATCCATACAGTTCATCATGTGTCCTTTGTTGCAGTGCATTCTGGGAATGCCCTGTCCACAAACAAACCTTAGGAAAAAAAAAAATCATCCAAACATACTTGTAATTTTTAGTACGGAGCACCTAAATGGGACATGGGGATGCGAAACAACCGAGATGGAAGGAAAAATTATACTTCACTGCTTTTGCGTTCTGGACATCATTTTTAATATTATTATTTTAATGTTTATGCAAACAAAAAGTGCATATTAATGTTAATTTGATTTGTTGTTTGTTGGTTTTCGACATAAAAAATAAAATAAAAACATGTGAACTTATTTGTCTGTGTAGTATCAGTACTTTCTGAACCTTTCCAACACATTTTAACGATATACCGTGATCAGTTTGGTCACTAATCATGACATTTAGTCTCTAGTTATGATGCACTATACATGTTTTTACAGTATGCAAAGTACCATTTTCAGAATTCTCTGATTCTATATAAAGAATTCTCTGATCCTATATAAAGAATTCTCTGATTCTATTTAAAGAATTCTCTGATCCTATATAAAGAATTCTCTGATTCTGTTCTGTCCTGTGACATTAAAGAGTGACGTATATATAGGGCTACAAAAATAGCTTTCAGGTGTAAAACAGTTTGGATAGTTGTTAATATGAGAGTTGTTTAAAGTGATTTAAGTATTGTATAACATGTCTAGCTCTTGGCCAATTTCATAAAAAAAAAAAAAAAGTAGCTCTCAAATGAAAAAAAAGGTTGGAGACCCCTGCTTTACATTCACTCGTAAAAGTTTAGGTTCTTGCAAAATGTTTGCGTTTTCTTGTAAAACTTTTGCAATCCCTCACAAAGCATTTGCATTCCTTCAAAAAAGTTTGCTGCTGTTTGTAAAAGGTTTGCGTTCTCTTTAATAAAAAAAATTGCGTTCCCCCATAAAACTTTGTGCACACTTTGTGTTCTCTCATAAAGCATTTGTATTTCCCCAAGAAACCTCGCTCACAGAACTTATTAGAACCCAGAACTAATATGAGGTGGGAGGAAGAACTATATTTCAATGCTTTTGTGAGCAAGTTTCATGGGGGAACGAAATACATCAAATGCATTAAATTATATTTTTTCCTCCAATCTATTTGACATCATCATGTCCCCTTAGGTGCTCCGTACAGTTCTGCAAAGTTTCAATATAAAAGTTTGACCCACCCAACTAAAAAAAAAAAATGTACACAGTATTAGTCAGCTGCCTATGTAGACAAATGTCCAACCTGCAGATCCTTAAGGTAGGCAATCTCATTCGGGAGGGACTCCAGTTTGTTCTCCTCCAGGTCAAGCTCTCGTAGTTTCCTCAAGTTCCCAATCCCATGAGGCAACTTCTTCAAGAGATTGTTGGACAATATGAGGACCTGAAGGAACCAATGGAAAAACAGAGTCAAAACACAGACCTAACTACATGACAAAAATGGGTTTGCAATCATGAAACTCTTGTTAAAATACAGAACATGATGTCACCTCTAAAGACACAAGTCCGCAGATATCCTCTGGAATCTTGGTAAGCTGGTTTGTTGCCAGGTTCAGCTCCACCATACTGGTCCACGTCCCAAAATCCAGCGGAAGAGATGTTAACTGGTTGTCCTGTAAATATAGTTTAAAAAAAACTTTGAATGGTAATGTTTTTCACATTTACATACTTGGCCATGCAAAACTACCCACAATGCTGCTTTTCAGTCCAGGACAAAACAGCCCACCCACAAGCCTCTACCATATTCTGCTCTGTAGTTAAAGCCCGTGTCCTACATATCTTCAGCAGTGACCTCATGTGAACAATCACCTTCATATTGAGCTTGCTGAGCACTTTGGCTCGGGAGAAGATGCCGAAGGGGATCTTGTTGATACGGTTGTGCTCCATGTTGAGTGAGTAGATGGTGGAAAACTGGGACGGGCCGCCCACTGGGTAAGACTGGAAACAGTTCCGCGCCAGCGTCAGACTCGTCAGGTTCACCAGACTGGACAGAAGCCCCTGAGGAGGAACAGACAGGGATCGATAAATATACACAAACGGGACCCTGACAAGTAATACAAGACTGAAAATGATTAAAAGCTGGAATGTGGAGAAGCAAGCCTCACCTCTGGTAACACTGAGATGTTGTTGTTCTCAAGGTTGAGCTCTTCCAGCTCTCGGCACTTCGCTAAAGATCGAGGGATTGCTGACAGGCGGTTGTATCTCAGACCCAGACGGTTTATACTCGACAAATTACCTGAAACAGTAAATTAATGTTGAGAAATGCCACAGACACTTAAGTTTATGGTTCAAGGGCCAGATTTATTAACAGCTTGGCTGGCGCAAAACCCTCTTTTGGCGTTAAAAACTACTGTCAGGATTTACCAAAGACACGCACTGAAAAATTAGCGCTAAAAAGGCTTGACAGGGTTATTTTTGCGGCTGATCTTATTGCATATGCATTTGTAGGAGTTTCCCTTTCAGAAGCAATATTTATGGGAGGAAAGTATTTAAGCCGATCATGCAAGGGGATTTACTAAGGTTTGCGCTAGTCAATTTACTGGTATTTGCGCTAATATGTACCGTCCAAACAAGCCTGTCTTAAACCACACTAATTTGCGCTGCTTTTGGTAGATTGTGTTGGTCATTATGGAAATGATCCGGCTGCGTCTGTGTTCTTTAATGTGAACTTTCCACTCCCATCTGCGCTTTTATGGGATTTCACTCTCACGTTAATTTGCCCTGTTTAGTAAATCTGGTCCCAAATGTGTTGTCTGTGGTCCAAATAAGTTTATGGTCCAAAACTGTTGATCTAGTCCAGGGGTAGGCAAGTTCGGTCTTAGAGAGCCGCTGTCCTGCAGAGTTTGGTTCCAACACTGAAAAAAACCTCTCCTGCCTATAGCCTTAGTAATCCTGAAGACATTGATTATCTTGTTCAGGTGTGTTTGAATAGGGTTGGAACTAAATTCTGCAGGACAGCGGCTCTCTAGGACCGAACTTGCCTACCCCTGATCTAGTCTTTACACGGGCATATAGGCATACTTCCTCCACTGATCAGATTATACTTATTAATGCTCACAAAACCAACACATTTCCCCAAAGCAGAACTGTAGAGTACAATTTTTGTTTAGCCTCCAACCATGAGCAGATCCTCACCTATAGTCTCAGGTAGGTCAAGAAGTTCATTGTGCTGCAGGTCAAGGTTGGTGATCTGAGTGCAATTGCCGATCTCTTTAGGAAGGTGCTCCAACTGGTTGTGGGCTACATCCAGCGTAATCAAGTTACAGAGCTCACCTATAACACAAGCCAGCAGAATCATCGCAAATGAACACTCAACGTTAATACTTGCAAGAGATTTAATGGAATGACACTATATATATTTATATTTTTATAAAAATAAATAGATAATAGAACATGGTCAGATTTGTTAACCAATCAGAAGACCCGGACTCAAAAAACTCCCAGAGCAGCCAATATATACCGATAAGGCAATCATTATTTTTATGCTATGGCTGATAACATATCGTCGCTGTCCGATGAAAACCGCGTATGTCCATTTTGCCGATTTTGAGATTTTTCGACGGATAGAATGTCCAGGTTCATTTCCGTATACAGCATGCTTCACATTATCTAAATGACCAATGAAAAGTTGTGAAATCATGTCATCTGATTTTCACGTTTATCCATTTGGTGTCAAAGCTGTCAATCACGCCGCGTATCTCCCACCCTGTGGATGCATCTCGCCGGTCTCGTGAAGTTTCGAAAATGGTTTCGAAGCACTGCTACTTGGGCGCAGAGATATCACGCAACACCTGAAATAAAGCTGCCACAAAGAACCGGCGAAAGTAATGATTATGCATGAAACATTTGAATTGTTGATAAAGTTGACGATGCAGACTCGCCATCTTCGCAGTAGTGAACGCGCCCATAGAGAGAAATGCACACTTCATATGAAGTGCTTCTTATTTATTAATCCAGGCAAATTTGTTGATGAAACATTGATTAAAATGAAGATACAATTTATACCAAACGAAATAAAATTTAAAGAAAGGCTTTCCACAAAACAAAACTTAGTAGATCAAAATCTGACCCAATCCAAATGTTTTCCGATATAGGCCTATTGGTCATCTTATGATCCTATCTTACTCATCTCATGCGGTTCCGTTTTCATATAATCAACATAGATGAAATAAAAAAAATAACATTATATTATTTAAACATAAATATGAAACGTATGTTTAAGTTTTTTAACTTATAAGCGTCACACCGCTCCGCTTTGCTCACATGCTAATAATCAAATAATCGATCTTCGAATCTTCGAATATTATTTTTGCTTGAAAATTTCGTTTTGTATAAATTGAATCTTCATTTTAATCAATGTTTTCATCAACAAATTTGCAAGCTTTATTTCAGGTGTTGCTTGATAGCCCATCTCTGCGCCCAAGTAGCAGTGCTTCCCCCTCATTGTATCAGTCTAGCATTGCCATGTCAGTGTATTGATTCATTGTCCCTTCATAGTTTGCAAGAGACATATAATAAACTGAGCGTATTAATAAACTGAGCGTAGCCTATTCATCTGTCAATATGAAACGCGACTGGGTCATTCTAATTAATGATCGGAAAAACGCGTATCGACCACCGTTACTGTAAAATATGCACGTATGTCCATTTAAACTCGATTTTGGTCAAATGTGGATTATATCATTACACTGGCAAGAATATGGTTACATTTAAAGTTGTCATACCAAGTATGACAACGCTACGTTCAACTGCTTTTGAAATTACGTGTTTTTTTCACTTCCTGAAAAGTAACCGTTTTGGACATACGTGAGTTTCATTGGGCAGCGACGATATATACATTATATTTATATATATACACACACACACACACAATCCGATATCAATTAATACAGCCATTATATATATTTTTCGATTTCGATTTTATATATTTTTTTTATATTTTTATATATATTTTTCGCCTTTAAAAAGGAAAAAAGGAATAGTTTTAAGCAGCAGCAGCAGCAGCAGCTCACTCACCGATCTCCGCGGGCAGCTGTTTAATCTTGTTCTCTCGGATGCTGAGCATGGTGAGTTTGGACAGATTCTTGATGTCCTTCTCCACGGTGGTGATCCGGTTAAAGCGCAGGTAGAGCGTGGTGAGGGAGGTGACGCGGTACACCACGGCCGGGATCTCCCGCAGCTTGTTATGCCGCAGGTCGAGCATACGCAACTTCTTCAGGTTGTCCAGTGAGTCGGGCAGGCTGGTGAGAGAGTTCTCGCTGAGCGCCAGCGTCACCAGTCCTGACAGGCATCCCAACTCGGGCGGCAGACTTTGCAGCTTGTTGCTGTACAGGTAGAGCTCGGTCAGCTGGGTCAGCTCCCTAATGGAAGAGGGCAAGAGATGGATGGATCTCTTGGACAGGTCCAGGCGCATCGAGTTCTCCTCACGGCACTTGTTCAGCTCCTTGATGACCTCTGCGTTGCTGGATTTTTTGCGCGTGCTAGGCGGCGGGTTGGGCCGCTTTATCGTGCTGTCCAACGTGAAGGCCACCGCGGGCGAAGCGCCGCTCGTGTCTTTCTTCCCGTCTTTGGCATCTTTCCCTTTGGTTTTGGATTTCCCTTCAGCTTTGGGTTCCCTCTCCTTAGAGTCTTTATCTTTGCCCAGAGTACTGCTCATGGCGAAAGCCCCGCTGCCCAATGGCACATGGGACCCTCAGTCTCTCGCTCTCTTTCTATCGCTCTAGTATTTTGCTCGTTATTCAAGGGCAGAACCAAAGGGAGGGGCTGTTATATCGGTGTGTGCTCATACATACCCGTGTTCCTTCACCAGTGTCGGTGGACCGAGGCAGCCTGTACTCCTGCAGGGGTTAAAACTCCATAGGGGCGACGCGTGTGTGTTGTAGTCGGTGTGGCGAGGAGGCCAGCAGCCTCATGCTTGTTTGAACTGCACTCTTTCCCTCGGCTCGGCTAGAGCTGTTCTACACAGACAGGTCGCCGGGATTCACATCCTTTGGCTGTAGAACAAAACAAACAGTTTCAGTTAAGACGCACAATGCCCCAAAGACGAGAATGACTTGCAGACAAAGTGTCGTTCAAATTTCAGAGTGAGAAAGGTCTTTAAGAGCTTCCCTCAATGACGCAAATGTGAGCTGCTATCTAATAAACATACAGTTCCTTCCTGTATGCTTGTACCACAAACGCTTTCAGGAAGAAGCAGCATCAAGTCATTCAGGCCGTCAATGGTCAGCCACTTGAGGCAATTATGAGCAATTAAATCTCAAATCTCTTTCGGCGATGCATCAGATGATCCTTTACTGGTGCATGTGCGGGAAAATATTAACTAGCCTGCAAGAAAAATTATATAGGGTACTAAGCTTCCACAATTGGAAAAGCCTTAAAGCGTTTCAATGATAAGAATGCATTAGACTCATTTTAAGGGTGTGGACAAAACCAGGCTAGATTCTTCCGAAAGCACAACTGGGGCCGTAATAATATAGTTGGCTTTTTATATTGTAACTAAAGCAAACACTAAAACAGTGTTTCCCCTAGGATTTTTTTCAGGGGGGGGGGTTATTGCAAAAAAAAAAAAAAAAATTTGCAATAAAAAAGCATGTCTAATTAATTGAAACCATGTATTATGAATCATTAAACAATACATTTTTTTTTAAATATATTAAAAAAAATGTCACTAATTCTGTGTTGTGTTTTTTCTGGTAATAAAATGAAGACATAAAACACAAATTGTATCATTTATCATCAATTTTAATCATATGAAATTAAATAAAACTTTGTCAAATAACTTGCTGCACAATGAGTTTTACTGTTAAAATTAAAACATGGATTATTCCAGTTTTGATGATAATTTATTTGGATTGGTGTTAGTGTATTATTACATTGGGACATATCTAAATTCAAATGTACAACAGTAATATATTTCTGTCAAGTTAAACCGAACTTTTATTTTTACGGGTTGCCGTGAAGACCTTTTGAGTTTCTGTGTGTTTATGTCATGATGATAGTTTTTCTCAAATGAAGCGGTGAAATGATCACGAAGTGACTTTCCTACTGTCTATGTGACTTTCAGAGTGGATCTAGAGCCTGGAGAGGAAGTTCATGCATTTGTGTCTTCATATAGGCCAAAAAACAGCGCAAGCGTCACACGTGCTTCAGTGTGTGAGTGTGTGTGTGTGTGTGTGTGTGGTAAATGAAACTGCGCGTCGGCGGCACCATTCATTCACACAGAACATGCAGGATTCGTATTTAAATAGTCTTTGCGTTTTAATATTCACACACACTAGTCTACATCGCGATTTGATTTCAAGTGTACTGAACTGCTTTCTATTTATTCCTCAAATTTACAAATTCCGTGAAATTCCGCGTTATACACTAAATTCCTTTTTTATGACTGGATTTCGTCAGCATTTTAGGGGGGGCGGGGGGTCGTTTTAGGGGAAACACTGCTAAAATATTATCAGGAAAATATTTTCTTTCTATCAGGTTGACAGTTGGGCCGGACACATCGATGACGTTGATTGCATAAAAATGATTTGCGTGTGTTATAATGAAATGAGTGTGATATAATGAGTATAATGCAAGTGCCACTGAAGTAAATCAAGCTCAACACTATTCATTCACTATTGACTAATAACAGGGATGTATGCTGCATTCAAAACGAACTAGAATAAGGTTGTCAGCAGTTTGTTATGCTATAATACGCATTCTATAACCGAACTGACACCTGCAAAGTTTCAGGATTCAACTGCATTCTCTGCAAACCTGTGCTGTCTGAATGAAATATTGAAAGATCAATGCTGTTGAAAGGTTAAGTTAGAGTTATTATTTATTGGTAATGAAGGGTTGGTCAAAATCCCTTGCCTCTTCAAATACATATATAACCATATATCATTTTGAATGGTTATATACTTCCTTTATAAAAATCAATAATCAAATATATTCATTATCACATAATAATTTTTATATTCTTGTGCTTGTGAAATTATATTTTCTTAAATGCATGGATGCAAGTAACCAGTTTCTTTTAGGTGCATTCCAATCTTACTTTGAGATTGCACGTAGTACACGCAGGACCCGAAGGCCACGTAACCCACAAGGCCGTTTGTCTCTTTCTCTGGGATCAGTAGAAAGGTTAGAGGGTCCTAAAGGCAGCGTGGGCACATATGATTCTTCGCTGGACATATGGTCAAGCTATATTGAGTGTTACTATCAAACTTTAATTGTTGTATTAAAATGTATTCTTTGCAGTATATTTCCTTCCTTGGGAGTAAATGCCAGTGATCTGTTTTTCTCCCAAACGAGTGAATGTTTTAGCATTATGTTTTGGTATACTTAACTGATAATAAGGAGCTCAGACTCTCTTCAGCCTTGATGGGAGCTGTTATTTGCTAGTGTCTGTTATTTGTGTGTGTGTGCGTATAACATTCTATGTAGGTTCTGGACGGTCGGACCAGACACCCCGGCGCCCTTCTCTAACCTGCGAGGCCACCACAGACCTAAATCCAATGAGTGGACGACAACTATCTTTACTAATGGCGATAGGCACCCCTATCTCCTCACATGTGTTAAATTGTTTAGGCTCTTAATGTTTCTTAGCCAATGAGAATCATTCAACCTGTAAGCAATGACGTAGCTTAGACCTTGGAAATGGTATAACTGCTGGGATCTTTGTAACTGTAAGCGGGGCGGCCTACGAACTCCTGTGTGAGTCTTGAAGCTGACTTCTGCTGATGAAAATGCAAACTATCTTCAGTAAAACTTTTCTTTAATTTTTTATAATTCTGACTCCGGGTCTTCATTCTTCATATCTGGTTCTGGGTCTTTGACTGTATACCCCTTACAGTTATGGTGGAGGATGCGCTGGCAATTATTCTCGGTGACACCCCTGGCAAATCAACAAACAAGGTAGTAAGCTTTTGTTAATTGTTAGGGCTGTCTGACTGGAGGAGATTTTGAAGGAGAGCGGGAGAGCTTCACTCCGATGAGGCGAGTGAAGCTTCACTCCGATGAGGCGAGTGAAGGAGTAAGTTAATTATACTGCTGACAGTATAAGAAGTCGCTGAGAGCGTCGTTAAGGGTAACGGCAGCAGACAGCGCAAGCGAAGCGTGCTCTGTGGGGGCCCCGCTGGGCATTACTGGTGTAGCACCACCCCAGCAGAGCACGTCCCTGGGCTAGAGGTCCAGTGGCACCGTAAACCTGCTCAATCTCTTCCATCTCAGATAGGGGATCCCCGAACTTAGTGAAGTGAATCAGGCAGTTAGGGATACTAACAATAATAGGGTTGTTTGCCAGGGATGCATCAGGAACAATTCCGAGAGAAAAATTTAAAAAGTTGTGACCCAAATTGGCATGGACCAGTATATGTAACTGTGATTTTGGAGTATACTTTGCAGTTTCATCACGCAGAAGCCAAGCTGTGTTGTTCAAAGATCGCCGCCTCCATTTCTGCAATAACTTCAGGTGAGTATGAACCATGATTAAGATATGGCAGAAAAATGTAATAACTTAATCAGTAACCTGAAGAGTCCTGAAACAAATAGTGAGTCAGGAAAAGCAAACGCTGTAAGCAGCTGTGCTCTAAAGCCCTCACTTTAAATAAATTTGCAGAAATGATTAAGTAAATGGTAGTCAGGATTTTGATTCTGATTGGAAATTTAAAAAACTTGACTGGCTACAAACAAACAAAGAAACTGAAAAATTAAAATGTTTAGCCTCGTATTGCTTACGATGATTACAAGAAGCAAGTGAAAGAAATTCTGGGTCTGGGATAATTTCCCTGGACAAGCGACTAAAGTTAAACAGACACTTTGTGAAAACAACTTAGAATATTTTGCAGCTTATGAAAATTAATGTTCTGCCAATAATAATGATGAAGATTATGATTGGGTTATTATGATTAAATCCGCCACTGGTGGACTGTAAAAGAATACAGAGAACTGCTTAATCAGTGGCTCTGTTTACATTCCTGAATGGGACACACACTGCTTCAAGGGCGTGCTTGTTGGAGCCGTTGAGGCTGACACATGAACCCTTTTGAAGAAAAGATCTATAATACTAATTTTTATAAGTGAATTGATGAATACAGGTTGATGTAAAATTAATGACTCCAACAAATGTGAGTTGCAAAATATATCAAAGTAACTAAAAGGATGATTGTGTTGTAATTCAACATTTTAAAAAGGTTTTAGATGATATAGAGAGACTAATCTCACAGATGATTTACAATAACTGCAAAAGTATCACAAGCAGAGAGTGCTTGCCTCGTCAAACTTAGTGTGTGAATCCTAATTGGAGATTGATAAACTCCAAGAGAAATCTTAAGTCAAATATTAAACTATGGTTGAGAACTTGACAATTAAAATTGAGATTGAGAAATGTGAAACGTTATTGAGAACTAGAATAATTATTTTTATGTAAGAACAAATAAGCAGAAGCAGTACTGGATTAACAGTTGCTAAATGCTGATTAAACAAACAGCTTGAAAAGTTGACCATGAAAGAACTAGAAGCTGATGTTTTGCTTTCAAAAGATAAGTTTGTTATTGGCTGTAATGAAACAGTTTGCTTATCTGAATCTGATGTGTGCTGTGGCTGAAACTGCCAGTGCAACAGACTCAATCTGAGTGGAAATTTGTAATGCCTAAATTTCCTGATGTGTGGGCAAAAGACAAATATAAATAATATGTTTATTTGAAACCGTATGTAATATCTGGCAAAGATGCCTTAAGCTGGGATAGAGTTAAAAGATGGTAGATAAAGTTAGACGTTCAGAGTGCAGTGTACCAGTCCCTCCCTCATTCAATGTCTCTCTCTCAGTCAATGTCAGCTAAAAGCTGTTACCTGAGTCGGTGTCATAAGTGATAATAAGCTATTTGTAGTGACATCTTTGATTAGGTTATTTTAGGACCCGTAACTTCTTTGTCTGATCTTAGTCCCCACCATGAAACGGGGGAGGGGCAGACGGAAAAGTACACTGAATGTACGGTTGTGATCTAAATTC